GGTTTAAACGTAGACAAATGCAGGGTCCTACACCTTGGGAGAAGGAATCCACAGCATACGTACAGGCTGGGGAGTTCCCCTCTTGAAAGCACAGAGGCAGAACGAGATCTTGGAATCATTACTAACTCCAAGATGAACATGAGCCACCAATGCCAGACCACAGCCAGCAAGGCCATCCATACCTTGTCATGCATCCAAAGATGCATCTCAAGCCGATCCAGAGAGGTGATACTCCCCCTCTATGCGACTTTGGTCAGGCCGCAGTTGGAGTACTGTGTCCAGTACTGGGCACTGCACTTCAAGAGGGATGTGGCCAGCCTGGACAGGGTTCAGAGGAGGGCCACCCACTCGGTGGGAGGGCAGCAGGACAGGCCCTATAAGGAGAGACTGAGGGACCTGAACCTGTTCAGCCTCAGCAAGAGGAAGCTAAGGGGGGACCTGGTGGCTGCCTACAAACTCATCAGGGAAGATCAACAGCAAATAGGTAGAGCCCTTTTCTCCCCAGCACCACCTGGGGTGACGAGGAACAATGGTAATAAGCTGATGGAGAATAGGTTTAGGTTAGAGATCAGAAGGCAATTTTTTACAGTTAGGGTGGCCAAAATCTGGAAATAACTTCCCAGGAAAGTGGTCCTCACCCCTACCTTAGGCAAATTCAAGAGGAGGTTGGAGGATCACCTGTCTGGGGTCTTGTGAACCCACCATTCATTCCTGCCTGTGGCAGGGGGTCAGGCTAGATGTTCTGTTCAGATCCCTCCTGACCCTAGCTACTATGAAACTATGAAACCAAAGACTAGACAGATAGAAACAAAAGGTTAGCCAAAAGGTTCATTTCTGCCCGTTAGTTCTTCCACATCAAGGATGCTGTCTGCCCCACTCATTGCTCCATAGTTCCCAAACTGGCAGAGAAAGGGGTTCAGCCATTGGTACATCATTATAACCTGCAACAAAAACTGGGAGCACTTCATATATTAGGGCATTGTGAACCAGAGGCAACTGAGGACAACCCCATAATTTCCTACTCTTTTTTAGGTGCAATAGGAAATCCCTGTCCTCTTATTACATCTTTTAAAGGTGTAGAGGGAGGGATAAGTAACTACAGCTAGTCTAGAGAATCTGCTGACCTACTTATTATACTCTATAATACTCAGTATGCTTTTACCTGAAAGAATCTGGCATTTATGCTTTTTGTTATTTTTTTCATTTATTTTATTACTTGATTCTCTAACTGTAATTTGGAAAATTGGCCTTCTTCCCAAAAATTTGAAAACCAGGCACTGATAATTATCTGACCTCCTACATTATGCAGAAGGTGAGCATTTGGCAAAATGTGTAAAAGAAAAGTACCTAATTGATATTTTGACAGCAGGAATCCTGGATGACGTAGGTATTTTCTTGGTATTTTTCTTTGGGGGGCTTTTCTGGGTTTATTTGGGGAGGGGTTGTTTTGTTTTTTTTAAGATACTAGCATCTTAAATCAGATAAAGGCACTAAAATTCCAATATTACATAAAATTGTACTGCATAAGCACAGCATACCAGCTGTTAGCAATTCTGCTCTATAAACAGCTGGGGTAGAGCAATTTCAGTTAGTAAGTAAACTAAAGAAAGAAAAAAAACATATAATTATGCAGCAAAAAAATGAACATAAGAATTAGACAGCTTTGCGACCACTGTCTTTGCATCTAAAATATCTCTGCCTTTCACTTATTTCAACAAACTTTTTTTTTTTCCAGAAAAACTGACTGGCATGCATGTTATATAAAGTTAACTAAAATATTTGCATATAACTCTTACCCCATTCTGAAGTTGGAGCTGTCTTTTTTTTTTATTTTCAGGACAAGCACCACTGAAGATGATCTCTCAGTTAGTATTTCTGGTTATGAGCAAAGCGAAATAGCAAAATTTCTAATCTTCCAGAGAATAAAGTATTATCAACCAAAGATGCATTAAAAACACATCTGTTTAATATTGATTATTGCTGCCTTCTAGCAAAAAATGTAAACAATCTTGTACAGATTTGCTTAATTTTCAGTAGCCAGTTATTATGATTATAATGTAGTCAATATGGTTCTTGAATAACAGAAGTCTTCAAAGATAATCCAAAGCACAAGGTATAACAGGCAGTAGATCAAGTCTGGCTTAATTCAGTCTTTTACTTCTGAAGAAAATCAGAAATATCTTGCTACTTCTAGCAATCCCTAGTGAATGACTAAGAGAAGCCACAACAACAGCAAAAGAATTCAAATTGAATGGTTAAAACATGAACTCAGAAAAATCAGGCAATTTAGCATTGTCACTTACCCTGTCTAAAATGGGGAAAATGCATATTTCACAGAAATGGTGAGGCTTAACAGGCAAATAAGGCTGCAATTGGGTCCACATAATAAATTCACTTTTACCCCAGGCTTACATCCAAAAAAAACCCACATATTTAAAATGTCAAGGTTAGGAGTGTTCAACTTCTTTGAAGTGAACTGGAGAAATGGTTTCTGAATGATGACACCCTAAAATCAAAAGTTTTTTCCTATATGGTAGATGAAAAAGGGAAGAGAGTAAAAGAAAAGACATTTTAATGGACTCATCCAAATGGGATCTAGTGACCAATGATTAACTTTAATTTGAAAAGAAAAGATTTTAAGTATTATGCCTGCCTCAATGATCCTAAACTAGCCATTCAATGACAACTTGCCCTTTCACTTAAAATAAGATAAAAGGTAGAGGCTGAATAGAGAGAAAACTCAGTATGTGAATTTATGGAGACTTGTCTATGAAAATAAAGAATTTTACCCACCAAAATTTAATTAAAATAAGAATCACAATTAGATATCCTTTTGCCAAGCTCTAAGCCTGAAAATAGAAAGAGATTATTAAAATTTATTAGCTATATTATATTAATTTAATGTATTAGATTAATTTAGTTTAAGGGGAAAAATACCTCCCTGCTCTGCTTCCTTTCAAGCTTCTTGCCAGTCACAGTATCCCCCTGCTATACAGAAAAATGTTAATATGATGGAGGCTAGGTTCAATCTCAAAAACAATATTTCCTGAAGTCTAGTATGGGATGTAGCCTCCATCTTTCCTTGGAACCAGCAAGTATCTTAAACAACGCCATTTGCCTCAGAACTCTTGGCTGCAAGCTTGATGGCCCTCATCCTAAGTATGAGAAAAACCACTGATACTGAGAGATTCAGATTAAAATGAGTCCCTATCAAGAAAGAAGGCTAAGGATTGGAAAGAGGCAGATAATTGCTGAAGTTCACTTGTCTGCTTACTGAAGCCCAACAGTGGGCAGAATAATGCAGCCAGTGTCCAGAGATACAGAAATGAATGTTAATAAAAAATGTACTGAAGCTTACAGGCAATACACACCAAGCCGGTGACATAAAGCCAGGCGTTATCTATCACAGGTAACTATTTGCTTTCTTGTCTAAATCTGAAGCACAGCTTTTGTTGAGAGGGCGGCAGGGGTGGATACTGTTATTGGTAAAATTGTCTTCTCTGAGCAAAGTGGGAAGAAAAAGATGTGGATGAGTGTTTCTGTATTTTCATTCCTAAAAACTAGTGCACCCACCACCACCATCAGCAAATGTTCTCTCTTTGCTTGTTGATAGATAGCCAAACCACATCATGTCTATTTTTCTTCCCAGAACCTCATCAATTCTGGTATTAGAAAAAATCTCTCTCACTAAAAAGGAAGACCTTCCATTTTAAATTTGGTTTAAGGAGGAAGCTGGAGATTTGGGCCAGACATTTTTCCAGGTGGAAATGGCAGAAGCCACTGCCCTGCTGCAGTCTGAAAACTCAAAACACATTCTTAAGGTGAATTTTTTAATATAATCAATTCACAAGCTTCCTTCATTCTTCTGGAAGTTTTAGCAAATAAATACTTTCATTTTTCCCTAAAAATGGGATTGTAGCATCTCATTTCTTGGCATTATACCAGAAAAAAGAAACTTTCTTCTTTCCAACTTTATATAGTGGAGGTAAAGGACACTACTCTGCCCTTACATTTATCAGCAGTTGCCAAGGTGTTAAGGATATATGAAAAAATGAAAAATTCCTTTGGAGAACTGATAGGATTTACCCGATTTGTTGAACACCTTGGTCGAACTGAAGTTAGACTTGCCCAGGTAAGTCTTGCAGGTTACAAGAATAACACAAAAAATGTAATTCTATTAAATGAATGATAATCCAAAAGGTCAAAGTCTTTTCTATCTGCCATTCTTTCCACTAATTCACAAAAAACACCACCAACCTCTTGAGATGGAGTTGCTACAACTATACAAGTACTACACAAATTTCTCTTTAAGATTTAATAATATTATCTAGGCACTTTTCTAAGAGAAGACCCAAACCAAAGCTACAAAGGAATTCCTACTTTTACACTGAAGGCAGAGGGAAGGATCAGAGCTGGCTGTGGTGCCAGGTCCTTTACTGCCATGTCCCTTGAACATTTGGAAAAAGTGGAGGAAGAGTTGAGAGAAAAGTTTAAGACAGCTCCAAAAAGGTACTGGAAGTTACACTTCCACTGTCAGAACCACACCAAGCTGAGTGGCAGAAGCCAAACAAAGAAAAAAGCCTGCCTTATAGGGAGGCCAAAAGGCAGCTCCCAAGAAGTTTAAATGCAGCTTCTGAAGAAACAAAAGTAGAGGAAAAAGTATGTTTTTATTTAACTCTACATACATTTGTTGTGTTGGTACTTTTTCTTTTTGTTTATTATTTATTCCAATACTGTGTTTAATGACAAATTATTTGAGCTGAGATGCTGTGCCCAGACTCAAGGGACACAAGAGTCAATGATTTCATGTCCTGTACCATGTCATGATTTTGTTTTGCAGTTAGAAAGTTTGCTCCCCTCCTCCCTGCTAGGTTATCACATCCAACTCAAATTTTATAAATGCTAAATGTTTCACATTAAAGAGTGTTATTACACAAATGTAACTGAGTGTAGTTCAGATTGTTTTGCAAGAGCTGGTATCATTATATAAACATTCTTACCTTTTTCTCTTCTTTAGACTTTCTAACATTGTGCTGTGGGCCAAACTTGTTTTGCATGCAAAACACTTTCTTAGACCATTCATTTTTGTGAGATTTTAACTGGGGCTGACCAAAGCTGCCATCGACTCTGTATCTGTCAGCTGGAATCTTATTCATTGGTGGGGGAAGAGTCCCACAGTTAACACTGGACCAGCCATCCGTAGAATCTGTATAAGACTCCTGGTCACTAGCATTTCCATGCTGCCAATCTTGTAAAACATGAACAGGCAACCATCTTTGATTGCCCATGCCCATAGTACTTTTCTTGGAAGGTGGCACTGAATTTCGGGAAGAAACTAGTGGAACTTCTATACGAGCTGCAGGACTCAAGTGCTTGCTTAAATTTTGTGGTTTATCATTCTGAATTACGTCTAAAGGAGTGTTTCCTTCTTGCTCATGACAGAAGCCATTCCAATGGGCAGCAGACTGATTTTGCCCTCTTCCTCCTGGATTTTCCCATAAACTATTAGGAATATGTTTACTTGGATTACTCCCTAAGTCAACCACCAAAACTCTGTTGCTTTTTTCTTCTTGGTTAAAGTTTCCAATGCCACTGTCACTGTTACTGCTTGTACTGTTATTCTGATGAGCATCTACATCACCATCAAGAAAAGCCCTGGCTCTCATTCCCTCAATCAGCTCCCCCATGTCCCTATAGAGGACAGAGACAAACTGAAGAACAGGTAAAGATGATGTTGGAAATTCTAAACAGCCATTTGTGTCTGGATCTGCTGTACATTCTAGTCCAAAACGTCTTGCTATACCCTGATGAATCTTATGATGAAATAATTCTGGATCTACCATAAACACGTGACAAGATGTCCTTAGAACTCCTTCATCTTCCTGAGCCAAGCTTGCATCATGACTGCTCTGCATTGTAACTAGACCAAAAAATCTCCTATCATCAGGGCACACCGCACTGAATGCGAGCTTCTCTGCAGGATACTCTGCTACTATACCAGATTTATCACTGCAGAGCTGAATGCAGTCATGCATAATCTTCATCATCACTAAAGAATGGATTTTCTGTTCTGCCCGAAGACGTCTCATACATCCACGAATAGCCTGCAAACTGTCACTTTCCAGATTTGCAGTTGTTGAAGGCAGTTCAATTGAGCCTAGGTAGCCTACCACCATGGCAACATTTAAAATACTTGCATCTAATCCAAAATCCTCTGGGTTCTCTAGTCCAATTCGGAAAACTGAATCATCATTCAACACTTTGGATATTTCTTCTTTAGAAAGTTGATTTGGATTGAGACTTACACCTTCAGTTCCAGTTTCAAATTTAGCAGCAGCAGACTCTGAAAGGGATCTTTGTTTTGGTATAAAGTTTTCTGTATTCCCAGCACAGAGACTAGGATTTTCAAAGATCATGTTGAAAATTCCACCAGATTGCATTTCTTCAACAACCTTTTCTGCTCTATTTATGCCTAAGGCTTTAGAATCAGGCTTTGGCTTCAGCCACCCTTTCCCATCATAAAAACCAACTTCTTCATCACTTGAGCAGGAGTCTATGTGACTAATACCTTCAGCAATCACCATGTGTAGGACTCCAGAACATTTTCCTATTAGTTTCACCACATCTTCATGAGAAGCCTTTTTTACATTAATATCATTAACGGCAAATATCTGATCTCCGGCTTTAAGTCCTACATAATCTGCAGGGCTTCCTTTCATAACACAACTAAGAATACAAGGGGCTTGCCCAGAAAGGGTAAACCCATAGCCAGCTCTTCCTCTAGCAACTTCTACACTTCTTATTCGAGGTGGAGCATGCATATTAAGACGACGTTTCACTGTTTCCCCTGGTCTATACATTGTGGTTATTTCTTGAAACTGGAAGATCTCCTAATTAGTCCAAATCATTCTTGTTCATTGTGTCAGGTGATAATAGGAAAGAAGTTCCAATTTCTTTGTCTGATGAAATCCTAAAAGAAATTTAAAAAAAGAAGATTTGATACTTATCAATACTTTGTTTCTCTTAGTGATCAGAGATATATTTATCAAAATTGCTACAGAAGATAAATCCTAAAATATTGGCAAAAGAAAGAGATATCTCGCTACTTTACTAATGCCAAAACAAAAAGGTATTACTAAAACATTCCGTGCAGATAACAAGGCAATTTGCAAAGGTGACTGTAATAATTTTTCAGGTGGGAAATCAAAGACAACAAATGAAGTGACCATCCCAAATTAACAAAACAACTTAGTGGCAAAGTCAAGAATAAATCTAAGTCTCCTGGCTCTTAGCCCAATGTTCTTACCTTGGATTAAGTTGCCTCCCTTAAAACTAAATGCAGATATACTTGTAACAGGGCGGCTTCCCAAGGCCAGTTAGAAGTTGGCTCACTCACCTGTTTCTGGGCTAACCGCTCACCTCTCGCCTGCCATGCCTTGATGATATATAATTATGGTGTTAATTAGGTAGGAGGCTGCCCATTTTTGCACCCTGATGCCAGGGGGCACTATCTGTGGCTCCAAAACCTTCCCTACACTGCAGCCCACGCCTCGCAGATGGCATCTAAGTTCTTGACAGCTCTGGCCCCACACTGGGCCCCATAACCCTCCAGTCTGGACCCCAACTGGATCCCTCCTATCAGGCAGCCTACTCCGCCCTCATTCTGGGCTGCCTAGCTCCCTGCACTCTTCCCCCTCTTGGGTGTGCCTCCCCCCTGGGACCTTTGGCCACACAGGCCCGGGCCTCACCTCCAAGGCCAGTCAGAACCCCAGGCCCTCAGCTCTGGGCATTCTTGCAGTGGGCCCCTGGCCCTTTTGACCCTTCTGGTCCTGGCCCCAACACTGACCAGTTAAGTCAGGCTTCTGAGCATCTAGCCCACTCTCTCTAACACAGGTTCACCTTCTCGGCCCTACTGTGGGGTTACCCACCCTGTTGTGGGAGCTAGGGTTATTAAGGCACCCTGACCCACCTTTCACCAGGATGGTAACTGGCCTGGCATTTCCTGGGGGCTCCCAAGCCACTAGAAGCCCCACCAGGCCACCCATCCCAAGCAGGGCACAGTTTCAGGTCATGCCCAGGACCAAGAGCCTCCTTGCCATCCCCCATAAGCTCCTTCCCTTACCTCCTAGTGTGCCTGCTGCAGCTCAGCCATGCAGTGTTTCCAATTGGGCCGGCAGCAGCAGACTGCAGCCTTTATATACTTAGTTCTCAAAATGGCTGCTGCCATCAGGCATCTGCTGGATTCCTGACCGAGCCCTTAAAGTGGCAGGCACCAACAGAGTCCTGCCACAGTACTAAAAAAGGGCATTTTGTGCCAAAAAGCTTGTCCATCATCTCTTTCAAAAATATAGTTGCTCCAATAAAAGATATCACGAAAAAAACCTTATCTTTCCTACATTTCCTGAACCATCACAGCTATACCATTCCAACCCTACTAAGTAAACCCAAGACATTTACTATCATAACAAGAGTCACTGTGAGTTTGTGTTCTATAACATGGCTAATTCTGTTTTAACAAATAACAGAATAAGCTAGTTTCTCACTTATATTGCTTGGCAACAGCTTTTTTATCAAATAAAATTTTGCAATAGACTTCTGGCTCAGAACACCATTACTGACCTACAACAGGGATTAGAACCATTTGCCTGCATGGGCCAGAGCTTGACCCAGCCATTGCTGTGGACTGGCTGCATGACTCTACCCTGGGAGCAGCCAGCTGCCTACGCTCACTCTCGCTTTAGATACCCAACCCTTCTGCAGCAAGAGAAGCACAGACATGGCAGAGCAGCAGACTTAACAGAGGAGGGGAGGGCAGCACGGCACAGCTCCATGCTATCAATGCCCATGCCTCCATGCTGGATCGGACCTTCATGGGCCAAATTAAACCACTTTGCAGGCTCAATTTAACTTACAGGCCGTAGGCTTTTTAAAAAATAAAACTGTAGCTAGGCAGACTGGCATACAAACCACCTAGTATAAATAGATGAGTTATACAAATTTAATTCATAAAAGGCAGTTTAAAGTTTTCATGTTAGTGGATCAGACTATTCACCTGACCACAGAATGAATCACATCTACCCTAAAATCTATGCCTGCCTGAGCATGCGGGACAACAACAATGTTCTGCATCATGCTCATTCCCTTACTTTAAAACAAACAATTAGTGGTCTGCAGAACAACCTATTAGAACTATTGAGAATAAAGAAAGGGGGGTGGTGGGAAAGGATGAGTAAGGAAGAGAGGGGAGAGAAAAATTACATAAACAGGAAATGTGGAAGAAAACATGAAGGAGACACAGCAACTTCTTTCCCATCACCTCCAAGGTATTCAGTTTCTATGATTTTGCTATGATATAAGAATGTAGATAAAGTATTAGGTTCCCTGACAAAGGTTTGAGGAGTAATTGCTCATAGAAGGCAGCAAACAAGGATAACGGGAATAAGAGAGGAAGCCAGTCTAGATAAAGACCACATAAAAGGTTGTTTAAAGTATTCCTCTGAAGCTTTATCTGAAAGTATGAAGACACGGGAAAACCAGTATACTCCCCTAAACTACATACACAAACACCGGTTGGCTGTATAGGAACAGAAGCAAAAAGCTGTGCTCCTGCTTTCATTTGGATCCTGGTCAGCTGGCAAGGGATCTAAACCCTATGAAAACAGGCCTTCTTTCTTTCCCCTTCTGTCTAGGCCTGGAGCATGATGCAGAAAGTTCTTAAAACGATAGCCATATGTTAGGGGACTTAAACTCTAGGGTAGCCGAAATATCCACAGGAAGAGAAAGGGGTAGCCTTTGGTCACAAACTGACAGACAGCAGATTTAGGCTAGAAATCACGAAAAACTTCTTCACGGTGAGGGTGGCCAAATCTTGGAATGGGCTTCCAAGGGAGGTGGTGCTCTCCCCTACCTTGGGGGTCTTTAAGAGAAGGCTGGATAAGCATCTGGCTGGGGTCATCTGACCCCAGCACTCTTCCCTGCCCAGGGCAGGGGGTCAGTCTCGATGATCTGTTGAGGTTCCTTCCAACCTTAGCATCTATGAATCTATTCCCTTCTAGGCAGGGAGCACTGAAGCTGAGGCCGGCAGGTGGCAGGAGAGGCAGGCACCATGGGGGGGTGGGCAGGCCGCAGGAAGAATGGAGAGTAAAGGGCCTACCCCCACCATGGCTGCCCAGCCTCCCTACCACTGCTTTTCTCACTGTAGCAGTGGAGGGAACAAATTTAATATGACCTTGTGAAAATTAGGTTCTATATCTAGAAAATTATAACAAATTTATAAACTTTTCCATATATAAAATCTAATTATTGTGGGGTAGTTTTAAGTCTGAAATCATCGTAGATTTGGGTAAATGCAGCATTTTGCTTACTTAACTATTAAAATACCACTCATTAATCAGTTTAAAGATATACATGTGCAAAGCAATGTAAATAAAGTTAGTTGGCAAATTCAATTAGATTCACTGACTTTTGTGTTCTTGCTTTTCAGTTTGAAAAGCTGAAAAACGTGCACTCCACTTACATTATTTAATCATAACTAGATACAATGGATATTGAATTATAAATTGGACAGAGATAAAAACCATAAAAATACTATCTTTTCTAGAGCATAAGATATATTTTTCCCTGAAAAAGACCTATAATAAGGCATATCTTATACACCAAAGCCACATAATGAAAAATAAATTAAATCATTGTCATAAAAGTGGACTAGAAGTCAATCAAATTTACAGTAAAAAAAAATCCCACAATTTTAAACTTTTTTGGGGGAGGCGAAGGGAAGGAGTTGTCTTATGAAAATCTGTCTCTTGTACACTAGAAAATACAGTACCAAAAAGTTACTTTCAGAATAAATCACAGAAATGCACAAAAAAATTGCCAGTCAGAAGTCATTCTAACTTCCATATGTTTTAGTTTAAACTAAAACTTCCAAAAACTCCACATGCTTCCAGTATTAACAGAGTTGGCAATGAAAACCAATAACTTTAAAAGATAAGTGTTTGAGAAAGCTATAAACAATGGGTTTCAGTAATATCATATAGAAAGAAGTTATCTTAAACTTACTAATTGTTGAGGTTTACATTGAAACCTGGATGCCTAACAGGCCTGCCCCACATATAGCACTCACATAAGCTCAGTTATTTCAGAGGAATGCCTGTATCTGTTTGGGTTCATAGAATCATAGAAGTAGGGTCGGAAGGGACCTTGTAGATCTTCAAGTCCAACCGCCTGCCTGGGCGGGAGAAAAACTGGGCTCAAATGAGTCCAGCCAGGTAGGCATCCAGCCTCTTCTTAAAGACCCCCAGGGTAGGAGCCAGCACCACTTCCCTTGGAAGTTGGTTCCAGATCCTAGCCGCCCTGACTGTGAAGTAGTTCTTACGGATGTCTAATCTAAACCTACTCTCCAACAACTTATGGCCATTATTCTTTGTTGTGCCAAGAGGCGCTACGGGAAACAAGGTCTCTCCCAAACCCTTCTGGTCCCCCCTAGTGAGGTTACAGACGGTCACCAGGTCCCCCCTCAGCCTTCTCTTGTGAAGGCTGAACAGGTTCAGGTCCCGCAGTCTCTCATTGTAGGGTCTTCCCTGTTGTCCCCAGATCATGCGGGTGGCCCTCCTCTGGACCCTCTCAATGTTGTCCACGTCCCTTCTGAAGTGGGGCACACAGAACTGGATGCAGTACTCCAGCTGTGGCCTGACCAGTGTCGCATAGAGGGGGAGGATCACCTCCTTGGCTCTACTTGAGATGCACCTGTGGATGCACGACAAGGTCCGGTTAGCCCTGACAACCGCGACCTCGCATTGTTGGCCCATGTTCATCTTGGAGTCAATAATGCTTTAAATCAGGGGTGGGCAAAATGTGATCCACAGGGCAGCATGCGGCCCGCCAGGCCATTCTATCCAGACCGTGAGGCCCCTAAAAAATTTAGAAAATTAATATTTATCTGCCCCTGGCTGCCTGTCGTGCGGCCC